GGGGGGTGGCGGTTATTATTAACGAGGATCTGGGTCCTAGGGAGACCACTGTGTCTCAGATAGCCGGATGTGAGTCCCTCCTTGTGAGGTGGGGTCGTGGGGTTCAGATGGGCTTGTTGCTTACATACCTGGCTCCCTGCCGCGTGGCAACAGCCCTACCTGAGCTACTCGACGTGATAGCCACGGTGGCAGTAGATACACCCAGGCTTTTAGTCATGGGTGATTTCAACTTGCCATCCATTGGTGAAACGTCTGAGGTGGCTTGGGAGTTCATGGCTTCCATGATGGCCATGGACCTGACCCAGTTAGTTCATGGCCCTACTCACAGGGGAGGTCACACTCTGGATCTGATTTTTGTCTCTGGCCAGTGGTTGAGTGGTCTTGTTATTGGGGATATAGACGTGGAAACCTTGTCATGGACAGACCACTCACTCCTTCGCCTGGATCTTCGAACCGCTGCCCCCCACCACAAGGAGGTGGATCCAATTAGATGGATCCGCCCCAGGCACCTGATGGATCCTGAGAGGTTCCAGATGGAGCTTGGGCCATTTCCTGAGGTTTGAGCACATGACTCGGCCGAGGAGCTGGTAGCCGCCTGGGACCGGGCGGCTGGTGGGGCCTTGGACCGAGTCGTGCCTTTGCGGCCTCTGACCCGGTGCCGATCCCGTGCAGCTCCTTGGTTCACTGAGGAGCTGAGGGAAATGAAGCGCTGGAAAAGACGCCTGGAGAGCGGTTGGAGGGCCAGTCTCGCTGAATCTGATCGAACACGGGTAAGGTCGCATATTAAGGCCTACCTAGTGGCGATAAAGACGGCAAAGTTTAATTACTTTTCCGCCTCTATTGCATCATCAGGGAATCGTCCGGCTGCCCTGTTCAGGGTAACTCGCTCCCTGCTCCATCCGGGAGTGCGGGAGGATCCCTTGGAAGGCAGGGCGGAAGATTTCAGACAATACCTGTATGACAAAATCACTCAGATCCGGGGGGATTTGGACTCTGACTGGGTAGATCAGGGCAGGGTGACGAGGAATAGTCTTGAGGATGTTATCTGGGAGGAGTTTGATGCTGTGACTCCTGATGATGTGGACAGGATTTTGGGGAGACTTAGTGCGGCCACATGTTTACTGGACCCGTGTCCCTCCTGGTTGGTACTGGCTTCCCGGGAGGTTACACGAGGCTGGCTCCAGGGTGTTATCAACGCTTCATTGAGTGAGGGTTACTTCGCCACCACCTTGAAAGAGGCGGTGGTGAGGCCTCTCCTCAAGAAACCGTCCCTGGATCCGGCAATATTGGCCAACTATCGTCCTGTCTCCAACCTTCGCTTTATGGCGAAGGTTGTAGACAGTGTGGTCGCGTGACAGTTTCCGCAATTCCTGGAGGAAACATCTTATCTAGATCCGTTCTAGTCGGGTTTCAGGTCTGGGCACAGCATGGAAACGGCATTGGTCGCGTTGGTTGATGATCTCTGAAGGGCTCGGGACAGGGGTTGCTCCTCTGTTCTGGTCCTGTTAGACCTCTCAGCGGCTTTTGATACCATCGACCATGGTATCATGCTGCACCGGCTGGAAGAGTTGGGGGTGGGAGGCACCGTGTTACGGTGGTTCTCCTCCTTTCTCTCCGACCGGTCGCAGTTTGTGTTGGCAGGGGGGCAGAGGTCGACCTTGAGGCCTCTCATTTGTGGAGTGCCGCAGGGATCGGTCCTCTCGCCCCTTCTGTTCAACATTTATGTGAAGCCGCTGGGTGAGATCATCCGTGGCTTTGGGGTGAGATACCACCAGTACGCTGATGACACCCAGCTGTACATCTCCACCCCAGGCCATCCCAACGATGCCCTTGAAGTGATGTCCCAGTGCCTGGAGGCTGTGCGGGTCTGGATGGGGAGGAACAGGCTCAAGCTCAACCCTTCCAAGACTGAGTGGCTGTGGCTCCCGGCATCCCGATATAGTCAGTTGACTCCATCACTGACTATTGGGGGTGAGTCATTGGCCCCCACAGAGAGGGCTCGCAATCTGGGAGTCCTCCTGGATATGCAGCTGTCCTTGGAGGAACATCTGATGGCTGTAACCAGGGGGACCTTTTGTCAGGTTTGCCTGATTCGCCAGTTGCGGCCCTTTCTTGATCGGGATTCCCTGTGCACAGTCACTCACACCCTCGTCACCTCTCGCCTTGACTACTGCAACACTCTCTATATGGGGCTCCCCTTGAGGAGTACCCGGAGGCTCCAGCTGGTCCAAAACGCAGCAGCGCGGGTAGTGACGGGAGCAGCATGGCGCTCCCATGTAACACCGCTCCTGCGCGAGCTGCACTGGCTCCCAGTGGTCTTCCAGGTGCGCTTCAAGGTGCTGGTTATCACCTTTAAAGCGCTCCATGGCATAGGGCCTAGCTATCTTCGAGACCACCTGCTGCTACTGACGACCTCTCATCGACCCGTGCGCTCCCACAGAGAGGGCCTCCTCGGGGTGCCATCAGCCAAACAGTGTAGGCTGGTGGCCCCCAGGGGGAGGGCCTTCTCTTTGGGGGCACCTACCCTCTGGAATCAGCTCCCCCCAGAGATAAGGAGAATCCAGGACCTTAGTGCCTTCCGTCGTGCCCTTAAAACCCATTTTTTCAAGCAAGCCAGGCTGGCTTAAGAAGAAATTTTTAAATGTTTTTAAATGTTTTAAATGTTTTAATTCGTAGTGAGTTTTAATTGGGCCAAATTTATATATCTTTTAATTGTTTTTTAATATTTGTCCTGCATGTTTTTTTAGTTCTGGCTGTACACCGCCCCGAGTCCTCAGGGAGAAGGGCGGTATAGAAATTCAATAATAAATAAATAATAAATAAATTCTTTCTTATTTTGTCTGGTGTGGATGAGGCCATCTTCTTCAGTGAAGGTTAGATACTCCAGAATGGTTAACTCCAGATCATGACATATTGAACAACATATTGGAGCCCCATGTTAAATGTCTTGTATCTTTCAAAATGTAGAAGAGAGTATCAGTCTTAATGCTTACAAAGGAGATCTAGTCTAATTTCCCTGGGACATTAATCTGAAACAATGGCCTATTACTGACTTCTTCACAATAGCAATATCAGACTTCTATACCACTTCACAGTGCTTTACAACCCTCTCTAAGCAGTTTATAGAGTCAGCCTATTGCCCCCAACAATCGGGATCCTCATTTTACCGACCTCGGAAGGAAGGAAGGCTGAGTCAACCTTGAATGATTGAGAATCAAACTGCCAAATTGCAGGCAGCCAGCAGGCATCAAAAATAGCCTGCAATACTGCATTCTAACCACTGTGCCTCCTCCTCCTCCTCCTGATGTGATGACATTTGCTGTCTCTTACATAAGGTATCTAGTAGGGAACCAAGACATGATGCTGTATGAGTGCATTGCCACAGTGGCTGAAGGTGAAGGGCTAAGCAAAATTTGAGGACCTGAGCCTTTGCTATATGAAAGTGGTGGTGAACCTTTTACTCACTGAGTGCCAAAACATGCCAAAACATGCTTGATGAGTAGAGTAGAGTAGAGTAGAGTAGAGTAGAGTAGAATAGAGTAGAGTAGAGTAGAGTAGAGTAGAATAGAATAGAATAGAATAGAATAGAATAGAATAGAATAGAATAGAATAGAACAGAACAGAACAGAACAGAACAGAACAGAACAGAACAGAATAGAATAGAATAGAATAGAATAGAATAGAATAACACAGTTGAAAGGGACCTTGGAGTTCTGTATACCATTTTATTCTTGTTGAGTTCATACTTTTTGAGTGCTGGGTTCTGGACACTTTGATTTGATAAACAATTGGACGGAGAAAATGTTTCTCATCTTTGCAGATAACATAGAAGTGGCTAGGATAGATTCGACACTACAATGACAGAAATCATAATTAGGACAATCTAGAATCCTGATTTCGCATAATGAATGAAACTGATCAGTATGTGAATAAAAATACATTGCAATTGCTTTGCTTTTCCAATGCTTTCTCAATATCCAAAGAGAGACAGTGTAGAAGGCAGAGATAATGGCATTGAGAGACCATTACCAAGACAAAGTCAGATAAAAGTAGTACTCATTTATATGATATAGCTTTCCTAATCTGTACTACACCGAAGGGCTGACTGACAAAAAGACAAAGAAAGGACACATGCACAAAAAAAAAAATTATATATTTCTAGGTAAAGTTTTAGGTGGGTATAGGTAAAGATTTCCCCTGTCAGTCATGACCAACCCAAGGGGCGGTGCTCATCTTTGATTCACAAATGAAGAGCCTTTATCTGAACATCCTTCCATGGTCATTTGGCTGGCATGACTATGCACTGAAGATGCATGGAACATTGATACTTTCCCACTGAAGTGGTACCTATTTATCTACTTGCATTTACATGCTTTTGAATTGTAGGTTGGCAGGACACACACAGAGACACACAGACACTGTATGTACAGTATATGGAAAAGGAAATGGATATTGAAATGGACATGGAAATGAATAAAAAACAGGAACCAATTTTACTACTCATAAGCACATCTTCATTGTCACTTCATGTCTACATGATTTCCCTCCTCCCAAATCATTCAGAATTGTACTTTTTTGTTTTGATTGAAGACTGTCAAAAATAATAATTTGTCTCATTAATTTATTCAAAGAGACGGAGAAAAAAATTAAAGTTGTTCCAATGTTCATGTTGATATTTTATCTATTCTTAATCTATACAATGTTATCTGTCTCTCTGTTTTTCTCTTTCTTCATCTCTCCCATCCATGTATCTATCTATCTATCTATCTATCTATCTATCTATCTATCTATCTATCTATCTATCTATCTATCTATCTATCTATCTCATTGACCTACCTATGAATGATCTTACATTATCGAGCCAGAAGAGATCAATCAAATATATCCAGTATTTGAAATTAACTATTTTTTTTTAAACAAAGTCAGAATATCATCCCAGAAAGTAACATATAACACCAGCACACAAACCTATATAGAAACAAAAACACACATCACCATTAGCAATAGTCTTTAATTTAATCTAAAATCATATCAGAACATTTCTGGTAATAGTTTATCTAGCCTGGTTCCAGAAAATTGAAGATATGATTATTTCAGATAGTTTGAGTTGTTTTAGCAACATTACTACTCAATTATAATAACTTTTAAAATTCAAAATTCTCATGGAATGAAAAAAGATAAGTGACAACACAGAAAACATTACTTCAAAGAATGTGATTTTATGTTGCATGTAAACTACAAAAATAAACATCAACAGAAATAATCTTAATGATTTTTTATCGTCAGATGTTCTTTGGTGTTCATGTCAGGTCTCAGGATAATAATGTAGCATTTGGGGATAAAGATGCAGCCCAGTAAACCCAGGCCAGAGGCCAGGATGGAGAAGATCTGCACGGCTACCATGTATTTCCCTTTGGTGCTCAGATAAGTGGGAACAAAGGAGATCCAAACGCTACAAAAAACCAACATGCTAAAGGTGATCAGTTTGGCTTCATTAAAAGCCCCTGGCAGATTTCGAGCCAGAAATGCCACCAAGAAACAGATGGCAGCCAAAAAACCCATGTAGCCAAGAGCAGAGTAGAACATGGTGACAGAGCCTTCATTGCACTGCAGCAGGATGTGTTCTGGTTGGGAGTGAAAGTCCGAATCTGGGAATGGGGGAAAGACTCCCAGCCACATCATACAGAGGCCTACTTGAATACCAGAGCAGGATAAAACAACAGAGTTGGCCAGACTCTTCCCCAGCCATTTCCTCATGCTGCTGCCTGGCTTTGTGGCCAGAAAGGCCACCACCACCATGACAGTCTTGGCCAGCAAGGAAGACACAGCAACTGAGAAAACAACACTGAAAATGGTTTGTCGAAGGAGACAGGTCATTTTCACGGGGCGACCGATGAATAGAAGGGAGGTCAAGAAAGAAAGCAGGAGTGAAACCAGGAGGATGTAGGTGAGTTCACAGTTGTTGGCTTTGACTATGGGAGTGTCTCGGTATTTCATGAAGATTCCCAGAATAAAGGCGGTGGTTAGGGACAAAGCGATGGCAAAGAAAGCCAGGATGAGTCCCAACAATTCTTGATAGGATAAGAAGCTTATATTTTTGGGGACACACTGATCTCGCTTCTTATTGGAATATTGGTCATCTGGACACTTTTCACAATGGGCTGCATCTGAGAAAAAAAAATGGTTATCATGAATCTGTTTCTGTAGCTGTAGGAGCATGAAAACCACATCAGAAATCAATTACTTTGTTTTCAAGGAATAATATAATATTTCTCCCCAGGAATATCCATGTGATACTACATTAGTTAACACTCTTTTTAAAGACTGAAGATGAATGTGATGATCAGTTCTCAAATCTTCTTTCCTAAAACAAAGCAAGAAAGTAACAACTCAATGGAAATCAGCAACCTTTCATTATTTAGTTTAATGCTCACATCATCATCTAAATTTGACGATAGTGCCCAATATTTGAAGTTTGTGGATGCCTTCAAGAAATGTAATGTTTTTCTTACTTCTTGTTCAAGTACTCCCTCAAAAAACAAGATAGAATATTGATTGTATCTTGAATGTTTTTGGGTTATTTTTGGAGCCACCTACTGTACCTTCTTGCCCAGAGAATGTTCCTTCCATACACAGAGAACAGTCATAGCAGCAAACTGGGGCTCCCTCTCTCACAAGCTTGGCATAACCTGGGGAGCAACTTTCTGTACATCTTGAATAAGGCACCATCTAAACATGAACAGAAAGATTACTCAGGGTGATATATGAATTAGAAGGGTTTACTGAAATCAAGTGTCTTCCAGAAGCTTAGGAACAAATTGATCAAAATCAGTCAAGAAATAGTGGCATGAACTTTAATTACTCTAGTTACAAGGGGCAAATGAAAGGTCATTCTCTTTCTCTATCAATCTCCATTGTAGATCCCAAAACAGACTCATTGCCACATTCTTTTTTCCAAAGGAAAGTAGTTCCATTGCAAAAAGTGTTTCTCCTTAGGGCATGTATGAGAATGCTTACCATATTTTTCGGACTATAAGACACACCAAAATTTTGAAGAGGAAAACAAGAAAAAAAAAGTTTTTGCCCTTCCCAAAAATTTTTTCCAAAAAAGGGGTGCACAAACGGTTTGGGAGGCCTGCAGAGTGCTCCTAGGGGTCTGGGGAGGACAAAAATGCGATGGTTGGGAGGGGCGTCTTTTTTATTATTAAAAAGTTTTTTATTTTAAACACATTAAAACAAACACAAAACAGACACTTATATATCATTTTTCTGTTGTTAAAAGCTCATTTAAGGTGATCCTTTCTTATTATTTACATATATTCTAACTTTACCTTATTCTACTTAAATAATCCAATTTCCTTTATATCGATTACTCTTTACTTTGATCTTCAACACATCCAAGCAACATTATCACAGAAATAAACATTGAAATATTATTTCACTTCCCCTATAAGAGGGTTGTCTTATACTCCAAAAAATACGGTATATATATTTTTCTCTATCTTTGCTTTCTCAGGAAACCTCCAACATCTAGATTTGTCTAGAGTCCCTATCTTTCTCTCCTACAAATGATCATGGTATCATCATATGTAAATGACTTTTTTAGCTGCCCATATTTCCTTTGCCACATTGTTCGTGATATCTTTCTCTTATGCAATTCAGTGGGCTAAATCCTTCATATTCTGGATTTTTCTCCCAAAGGTGCTTTTTCAAAAGACAACTGATTTTTTTCCCTTGAAGACTTTTCGCTTCTCATTCCAGAAGCTTCTTCAGTTCTGACTGAATGGTGGAGTATGGAAGGATTTATATTTCATACAGTCATTTGGTCGTTAGCAGTCTTTCTGAAAGTTGATGAGGCCACTTGGAATTTATCTCTACCCTCAGGGTCACATGAAATAGTGCAAATGACTGTGGTTACAACACTGTCTTTTCAGCAGTTCCAAATCTTTTCATCAGACCATTTAGTCTGAACTGAAGAAGCTTCTTGGATGAGAAGTGAAACATCTTCAAGAGAAAACAAAGCCCAGGTGCCTTTTGAAAAAGCACCTTTGCCACAACCGTGACCTGGATGACTGAGAATCTCCATAGATATTCTGGATTTTCTCTTACTGAAAACAAGATAATTTGATGTATTATAAATTATGGCAGCATATTCCAGTTTAATAATGTAGATTGCAAATCCCTCAATACAATGCGACAGGTTCCAGTGTGTGATAGATTATTGTAAAACCTCTAAAATAAAATCATATCTAATGAATTAATGAGGGTTTAAGTTCTCTTATTTGGAAATTATCTCAACTGGCCTCAATAAGAATTATTTCTGAGCAGAAAAATTTCCACATCTGTAGATAAATAGATGAGCAAAATCCAAGCAGCCTCAACTACTTTGTTAAATAAAGTTGGCCATTGGACGGCACTTTGATTGACAGAAATCTTGACTTCCGAGGAGGCTTGTCTTCCTACATTCCCAATTTTCACTCCCATGACTGATTTGTTCAAAACTGATGTCCACTGCATGATATCAAAATCACCAACAGGAACTCCATTTTCATCAAAAGAAATCCCATCTCTGGAAATATTGTGATGTTGGAAGTTTCTCAGGAACCTATGAAGCTGCAGAAACATTTAAAAAAACCATTACAGTTTGAGCCTTTATTCAATTTATTTTCTTGCTATTATTCTGGATTGGAGGTACTCTGAATAATTCAACCTCTTCAAATGACCACTACAGTCTGAAACAGATTGATTCAGCATTTCATGGGAAGCTTCTTCCAGTCATTCTCCAGGAATTTACAGCTCTTTTTCAAATATTTAGAGAAGAGAAGGGAAGAGAAGAGAAGAGGAGAGGAGAGGAGAGGAGAGGAGAGGAGAGGAGAGGAGAGGAGAGGAGAGAAGAGAAGAGCAGAGCAGAGCAGAGCAGAGCAGAGCAGAGAAGAGAAGAGAAGAGAAGAGAAGAGAAGAGAAGAGAAGAGAATAACAGAGTTGAAAGTGACCTTGGAGGTCTTCTAGTCCATCCCCCTGCTTAGGCAGGAAACCCTACACCACTTCAGACAAATGGCTATCCAACATCTTCTTTAAAATGTCCAGTGTTGGAGCATTCACAACTTCTGGAGGCAAGTTGTTCCACTGATTAATTGTTCTAACTGTCAAGAAATTTCTCCTAAGTTCTAGGTTACATCTCTCCTTGATTAGTTTCCACCCATTGCTTCTTGTCCTACCCTCAGGTGCTTTGGAGTATAGCTTGATTCCCTCTTCTTTGTAGCAGCCCCTGAGATATTGGAACACTGCTATCATGTCTCCCCAGTCCTTCTTTTCATTAAACTAGACATACCCAGTTCTTGCAACTGTTCTTCATATGTTTTAGCCTCCAGTCCTCTAATCATCTTTGTTGCTCTTCTCTACCCTTTTTCTAGAGTCTCAACATCTTTTTTTCATTGTGGCAACCAATACTGGATGCAGTATTCCAAGTATGGCCTTACCAAGGAATTATAAAGTGTTATTAACACTTCCCGTGATCTTCATTCTATCCCTCTGTTTATGCAGCCCACAACTGTGTTGGCTTTTCTGGCAGCTGCTGCACACTGCTGGCTCATATTTAAATGGTTGTCCACTAGGACACCAAGATCCCTCTCACAGTTACTACTATTGAGCAAGGTACCACATATACTGTATCTGTGCACTTTGTTTTTCTTGCCTAAATGCAGAATCTTACTTTTTTTCTCCATTGAATTTCATTTTGTTAGATAGCGTCCAATGTTCAAGTCCGTCAGGATCCTTCTGTATCTTAAGCCTATCTTCCGGAGTGTTGGCTATTCCTGCCAGCTTGATGTCATCTGCAAATTTGATGAGTTTCCCATCTATCCCCTCATCCAAGTAATTCATTATCTCACATTCTTGAAAACATGGAAAAGATAACACCACCATCAGGTGGCTTTGTAACTGGCTAACAAATTATATTCAACATGTAGTCCTCTGGGGAACCTCATCCACATGGAGGGAAGTAAGCAATGGGGTTCCCCAAGTTTCCATTTTAGGCACAGCACCCTTCAATATCTTCAAAAAAGATCTAGGCGAGGGAATTGAAGGGTAACTGATCAAATTTGCAGATGAACCTAAGCTGGCAGGAATAGCCAACACCCCAGAAGACAAGCTCAAGATCCAAAAGGATCTTGACAAATTGAGCATGGGCTCCTACCTAACAAAATGAAATTCAACATAGATAAAAGTAAGGTTTTATTCTCAGGCAAGAAAAACCAACAGTATAGGTACAGACTACATGAAATTTGGCTTAATGCCAGTAACTGTGAGAAGGATCTTGGAGTCTTAGTGGACAATCACTCAATTATAAGCCAACAATGTGTGGCAGTAGATAAAAATGCCAATGCAATCCTAGGCTGCGTTAATAATGGGATAGAATCAAGATCACATGAAGTTCTAATATCGCTTTACGAAGCCTTAGAAAGACCATATTTAGAATACTGCATCCAGTTCTGGTCAATACAATATAAAAAAGATATTGAAACACTGGAAAAACTGTAGAGATGAGCAACAAAAATAATTAGGGGGCTGGAGGCTAAAACATACCGGCCGGTACGCTCCCATAGAGAGGAGCTCCTCCGGGTGCCGTCAGCCAAACAATGCCGACTGGCGGCCCCCAGGGGGAGAGCCTTCTCTGTGGGGGCACCTACTATCTGGAACGAGCTCCCTCCAGAGATATGGAGGATCCCGGATCTGCGCACCTTCCGCCGCGCCTTAAAGACCTTATTATTTCACCAGGACGGCCTGACCTAATTTTCCCCCTCTTTTATAAAAGATTTTTAAAATTTTAAATATCTTTTAGTATTTTATATATTCAATTTTAAATTGGTTTTAAAAGTTTGGGGTTTTAAATTTGTCGGGGCCAAAATTATTTAATTTGATTTTATTCTATTTTTAAATTTTGTATGTATGTGTTTTTACTGTTTGGCTGTGCACCGCCCTGAGTCCTTCGGGAGTAGGGCGGTATAGAAATCTAATAAAATAAATAAATAAATAAATAAATAAATAAATAAATAAATAAATAAATAAATAAATAAATAAATAAATAAATAAATAAATAAATAAATAAATAAATAAATAAATAAATACCAAGAACAGTTACAGCAGGGGTAAAATCCTACTGGTTCAAACTGGTTTGGGAGAACCGGTAGGGATGATTGGCATCACTTTGCTGAAACAATAGCAATCATCTCTGGTGGTCCACACATGCCAGCTCGCCCGCTTGCCCACTCACATCTTCCGATTCACTCATGCCTTCTGGCTCACTCGCTGCTTCTGGCTGCTCGGCCCACCCACCCACTCCTACCCTATATAAGTTCCCTTTGCCATGCAGCCCAGCTACTTGCCTCAACTGCTCAGCTCACCAAAGGTAAGCAATGCATGCTGCCTGCTCGCCCTTCGAATTGGGTTGGCGCCGGAGGCCGCACTCAGGAAAATGCAATTCCCTGAGGCCCTGAAGATGCCCCCCACTCACTGCCCACCTCGACCAGGTCGGGGAATTCACCATTCCATGGCTTCGTCCTTGTCCTGGAGCTGCCACCCGCTTGTCGACCACTGCCCGCTCTCCCTTTACCACGTTATGCATCCTTAACTTCCTCTCACAGCTGGCTGCCAGGGAAGGCAAGCCAGGGCTTAGCCATTGCCGCTGGGCTGAATGCCAGCCTGCATCTCACCCCCTTTG